ATGCACCTTTGTGCACTCAAACATCATCACGTCACCCTTCCTCACCTGACAAGTCATCACACGGCACCGCCTGCCGACCGGCTCTGCCGGAGATTGCCCTCACAATTGTCAAAGGGGTACCCTTCGCGATGTGTGTATATTTCTTGTTTTTTTCTTCAGAATTGGTTACGACTATAGGGCCTAAGGGTCTCACAAAGGAAGTTGATTATGTTGAGGGTGGTTGAATTTGTGTGGCACCTCAGATAGATGCTTGTAACGAAACGGACAGATTCAAGAAGACATGAGTCAACATGAGGAAGAGATTCATACCAAACAATATCTGAAACAAAATCACTTTGCCCCGGGAAAGGTGTCCTCATAGTGAATCAATGTTGTGTTTTCTTGCTGTCATTTTGTTGGTGGCCGCAAAGGTTTACTGCTGCAGCGTCACAAAGATGTTAGGTATTGAGATCAAAGTTGTTTGCGATATATAATTGTGTTCGGTTTGCTCAGGAGACGTTTGTTTACTTTCCAGAGGTATCCAGAGGTTCACTATTGTATGCCAAAGAGTGGTATGCTTGATATTTTGAGAGGAAACCTATATATGTTCTTAGTACTGTATCAGTTTTGTCAGCTGGTGTATTAGTGTGATGTGCACATCGGTTCAGTTTCCCTTCCACTAGCTTTCATCAACATTTGGATTGCCCGATGTTTGCCTTCAGCCCAAGGTTGTTCAAATTTTATCTCCTTGCACATGTCCCTCCCTCAAAGGTGATCTTTGTTTCCTTTACTGTAGCTTGGAAGGCTCTTTTTCAAGAAGGCGTAGTTTCAATTCCGATTGCACACCCTGTGGCAAACGGCAACGGGCATGTGCAAAGTGCCAGCGGACGTGTGCGCTCACAAGTCGTACCACCCAGATAAATTGATTCGTGGCTGTGTTTGGGCATGTGTGGTGCAAAAAGCATGGAAAGGATTTGGGGATTTGCAGGAAGACGGGATAAGATCTACGGTTCATAGATATGATATGACCTTGTACGCGCTTGTACCGATCTAATTATGCAAATTTTGTTTTCAGGATCCGTAAATTTGCTGCAAATATTGAAGTAGCACGGTTCTTGCATTCTTTTGCCACTGCTTCAATGTTGCTCTATTTTGGGTAGTGTGCGTACCAACGACCTTGCATTCTTGTATACAGTGTGTTGTGCTCATCTAGTGAGTGAGGAACAGACTTCTTGTATACTTTGAATACATTTTTGGCAGCTTCACCTTTGCTAAGCATGGCCGAAAGCATCACTGCAGCGACAGATGTAGTTTGCTCACTTCATTTTATCGTGGCGGTGGGCTCGAACGTACCTGGGCAGGCTCTCTAGCAGTGCTTTTCAGCGGCAAACCTTTTTTGTCGTGTAGCATCCCACAACTTCCTACATGAGTGTTTCCTGCATTATAATGTATATCTTGTTTTCAGGCTGGCCTGTTTCCTGCCTGTTTGGGTAGGTAGGCAATTCATATTTTGTGCATGCAATCTCGACCTTTTGTGCACTTTGGATCCAGGTTGAAGCGCCCAGCGATAGAGAAAGCTTCGGCTTCCCCCACCGCCTTGGAGACCAGGACAGACCTTCCCCCAGTCCAGCAGTTTCCCCTGGAAACCACGCTGTTTGAGTGTGATGTTCAATCGACCTTCACTATCCCCACACCAATCCGAGAAAAGACTGACCGGTCCCACCCGTGAGGGAATGGATGCTCTCAGGTATCTATAGTGGTGTTCCTTGGTTTCAATACTAAGCGGTTCCTCGCCTTCCCTCATTCCATACAAAGCATCAGTCAACAGAACCTGCAAGAGTTCTTAATGCCATGGCGCTGGACGATGGGGTGCCACATCGCCCAAAAAGCTGGTGATCCAAGGCGAGATCGAGAGGAGGAGAAAGGCCGAGAGAAAGGTGTCGCTTGGAAGGCTAGACCCCGAAGAATCCTGGCGGAGGGGTTGGTACCAGAAGTCTACCCGGCCTGGCTTTGCTTGAGGGGAAGTCGGGAACATGTTGCGGCGTTGTCGAAATGGTTGTTGAACTGAAGCATTTGAGGCTACGCTTTGCTGGTGCCTGTCCCAGTTTGGTCCATGTATCATGAAGAAATGTCATGTCTCTTTGCTTCCTGTGCGTGGCTCAAATCCTTCTAGTGTCACAGGACCCACGCAAACGGCTTGACATCAGAAACTCAGGTGGATGGGCCCTTGCCATCCAGCAAGTTATTTTCAACATCTTTCAACAATGGCATCAAAAGCAACAACCGTGAAGTGCGCGCGGGGAACGGGAACGCGGAAACGGACTTGCAAATCGCAGTCTAGGATTGCTGGAGGTATTTTAAGGGGATCTATCATTTTCCCATCTTGGGCACCCTTTTCCTGGCAATATATTGGCGAAACATTCTCTGTATCTGGGCCATGGCAAGCGACAAGCGCGTGCTCTTGACCCTCGGCAACGATGCGTATCGCTCCTGTGGCGAATGCAGTTGCCGATGGACTTTGAAGGGGGCTGTCAATGACTCCCGAGGTTTGCGCAAACACTGCCAGTCTGACGGATGGTACGTGCACTCGGCACAGAATATCCGCACTGCAGAGATGATTTATCACCAAGCTGAACAGGCTGGCCTTGGGATCACCAGAAACACATCAGTGGCGGTCATGCACTACAGCGGTCACGCTCGGAACGGTTGGCTGATCCCCTGTGACCAACCCTGCAACTGCACAGGGCCCAAAGAGACCCTGGAGCATGCGAACCTCCAGAAAGTCCTTGAGCTGTTTTGTGCCAATATCTCCCGCGAAATGATGACCCAAGTCATTGTTTTCATTGACGGCTGTCGTGTAGATGAAGGGCAGGACATTTCTAGCTGCGATCCGGTCACCCGACCCAGCACCCTTTCGCAGAAGCAGCTCCTGCTGGTCTATGCATGCAATCCTTCTGGCCGAGCTTTTGAACATGGAAACCAAGATGGTTCTTACAATGGGCGTTTCTCCTTGGCCCTGCTGGAATCTCTTGATCGCTGTGAAAAGCTGTCCGGCTTACTGGCTGAGGTTCAGAAAAAATGAAGACTTTTGGCAGTCGCTTGTCCCTGCAAGACTCTTGCTACTATAGCAACCATTTGCAGGACTTTGATAAGATGCCAAATTTCTTCAGAACAAAACGCAATAGGCATAGTGTCCTGCTCAAATTGATCCTGATCATTGTGTCGTTGATCCTGATCATTGTGTCGTTGAGTTTGTTTCATGATTTTGCCTCAGTATCTCCGTGGCCACAGTGGTGGCAATCTTCCAGAGACACGGTCACGGTGCTGGCCAACAATCAGGAGTTAAAGGAAGTGCAACAAGACTCAAGGATGCAAGGCAAGGCCAACGAGGAATTGTGGAACGAAGCAGAGGATGAAACAGCCTCATCCGAGAAGACCCAACAGCTGCCTCGTGACTTGCAGCAACAGCTGAATCGTGCAGAAGATGGCCAAGGGGAGTCGAATCGGTGTCAGCACATGACACAGAAGCTGGAAGGTGTTGAAAAGGAGCTGGACAGAAACAGCAATCAGCTGGAGGCCGAGCTCCAAAAGGAAAATGCACAGCTCAATCGAGAGCTGAATCAAACAAAGTTACAGCTTGACAAGACACGTGAGGAGAACAATGCAACCGAGCAAAACCTACAGACATGTAAAGACGAGCTGAAAAGCACAAAAGATCAGCTGGAAAATTCCAAGGATCGTCTGGAAAAGAACAATACTCAGGTGGCGGACGAAAAAAACAAAACCGCAAATTTCAAAAAACTGTTGAGAGATTGCAAGGTTGGAAAGCGGGAGGTGAATGACTGCGGGGTGCAGTTAGAACACAAGGACAAGGAGCTGGACAAGCGCACAAAGAAGCTCAACGATTGCAGGGTGCGGTTAGAGCAGAAGCAGCAGGAGCTGGAAACGTGCTTTTTCACATGCCAATGCATAGTATTTGTGTCAATTATTGCGGGTCTGATACTTTACGCATGTTGGCCTCGGCCGCCCCCCAAAACATGGTGGCAGCTGTTGACAGAGTGATATGCATCACACAGCCCGGAGGAAATGAAGATCAAGCTCTCATGGATGCCAGAAGGAGAAGCCACAGACTTATATAGTTCGGCCAGGGAAATGAGCCTCCCAAAGTCCGACGCTGCTGGGTGGTCGAAGGGAAGGTTTGATTCCACTCTCCCCCAAGACAGATGCTACTTGATGGAAATCCCAGCCTGGGACGAATTGGGATGTTTCATCGGTCTTTGAAACAAGGCATCCACCATCCCAGGGGCTTCTTTTCGCATAAAGGTTGTGTGAGTGTGAGGTACTTTCGACACTTGGGGTTGAGGCGGATCCATTACCAGTGCCCCAAGCCCAGGAACATAGACACGTCCACATAGTTGGTCTCCGAGTCTCCAATGTAAGAACTAGACTTGGTGGGCAACACGTATCAAGTACCTCGCAGGGCTGCTCCCACTCCCAGTGTCTAACAATAATAGAATCCTTCAAGAAATTTGGATTGTTGTGAGCTGCTGCCAGGCGTTGGCCTCTGACGTTTCCAGCTGCTTGCGCCATGAAAAACTGTGCTTTGAGCCGGTTGGAAACTGCCGTTTGGTCCGCTCTTCACTGGCTGTGACAGGGTCGCCGGGCGCGGAATTGCCGGGTATCCACTCATGAGATCCGCTCTTCTATGACATGTTGGGGTATTTTTAAGGATTTTTATAGTTTCTATGAATCATTATCAGCACCCTATGCATCACAAGAATTCAGGATCTTATAACCTCTTGGGCTTGGGCGCACCTGTCATACAGATGACGTCACCGGATGAATGGCCAAAGATGTTGTTCTCCAGGAGACATGTAACAACATCCTCAAAGAGTTCCAGTCCAAGTGAACTTTCGGGGCAATTTGGCGTGAACAAATCTGCTGGGTCATCTACTCTTACTTGACTGACCCTGCGGGGTGCTGTGCACTCCGGTGGGGCCCAGCCCCGCTGCTTGGAGCAGGTGCTGCTTTGTAGCTGCTTGGCCTGCTCGGCCCTTGGAGGTTGGGGGCAAACGGACGAACTGGAGAGATACCGTGGAACTGTGTTGCTTGATGTATCATGCTGGGTATGGAATGGTCTTATGTTGTATGTTTTCCCTATGGCCCTATGGGTGAATCCCCCTTCTGGGGTATATTTTCCCAGCTCCTTAAGCAAATCCAAGCAAGCACATCTAATCCAGTCCTCGTAAACTCATGGGCTACGGCAGCCCTGCACATGGACGTACCAGCGCTTGGCGGATCTCAAGAAAGCGTCCGGTGCACAGCACTTCACTGGTCAGAATTGGCCATCCAGATTTGCCTTGCTTCATTGGTTTGCCAGAAGCCAGGGATATATCGGACAGGCCGACTTCCAGACTCTGAAACCCACGCGTCACCACGGATATTTTTTGTTCTCTCTCTCTCTCTCTCTCTGTCTCTCCCTCTATACTGTATATGGACTGCGCTCAAAAAGCCCTACTCAAAAATATAGATAAACGTAAGTAAACTTTTAAGGTTGGAGATGTGTTTTTAAGTCTTCGTTTAGAAGTGGGCCCCCAGCAGACTATGGTGATACAGCAAGGCAGCGCTAGATTGGCGCTAGGTTGGCGCTAGATTTCTTCATAACAGGATAAGCAAGCAGGAAAAAGAAACAAGCAGAGAGCAGGAAAAAGAAGGAGCAAGACAAGAAACATAACAACAAAGCAGAAGAAGAAGAAGAAGAAGAAGTGCCCACATTACCCCCCGGCAACATTTTCCAAGCGAACCATGGCGCTGCGAGCGCCTCGTTGCGCGCGCCGCGCGCGGAGAACGCACCCCGCGGTGCTCGGTGCCCTCGGTGCTTGTTGCTTCGTTGGCACTTGGGGTGCCTTGAGCTTCACCCCATGGAGCACCGTGGAAGCGGCCTATGAGACCTGAAAGCAAATAAGAAATATGCAACATAAATATATGTGTGTGTAGCTGTGCAGTCGGCGGTTTGAGTGGTAAGTAAGTTTCAAATCCATATGGTGCCTGGATTCCTGTCCGTCAACTGTCCCTTCAACCCCCCCTGTTTTGGCAACGTAAGGGAAATGCTTTTGCGACACTCACAGGCTCAAAGTCGATGGCCTGTGCACATTTTTTGGACCACCAAACTTCACCAAACCCACCGTGCTCTTGACATGTTCCTTTACACCATGGTTTAAACCGTGACAGATTCACTGCATGCAGCAAGTATGGGTCAACTCTTCCACCAATCTTCACAGTGATTCCTATTCAATCTTTTCCAAGGAATCTTCTTGCTACTGATTCCCACTGATTTTTTCCTACTGATTCCTACTGATCTTCTTTGCAACCACTTTCCAAGGACCGTATTTCGCAGAACTTCGCCGCCAGCCGCCGCTTCCCCTGGCCCTTCGTCGCCGAATGGCTCGCGGCTCCGCCGCGGCGTCCGCCGTCGCGGCAGCTGGTGGTGGCGGGGTGTGGCGATGGGCGGCACGTGGTGAGTGCTTTGGAGGCGGACAGCTGCTTGGAATGTGCTTTGATGGGGAGGCAGGTTCGAGTGATGAGGTTGGATGAGGTTGGTGTAAAGAAAGGGAGAAAGGGGGGCGGATGTTTTGGGATTTGGACTGTTATTGTCAGCCTTGAAGATATAGAGGGGCAACTAAGCTCCACAGAACTCACCAAGTACTTGCGTTGAGAGGTCACTGTGAAGCAGTTTAATCCACAATTAGTTCTTTCGACCTGAGAGCCATGAGATTGCACCAAAATATACTGTATCTGAAAATGCTCATGCGGTGAGATTCCACACACATAAACATGCAGGCTCACGTTGATGAGAACACAAGAAAAAAGATCGATCCTGTAAGCTGGCTTGAAACATGCATTGCCATGTCACATCGGTTCTGCGACCTTATAGTTTCAAAGAGGCAGCATTGGATTTGGCTGTCTTAGACCTTTTCACTACTGAGGATATGGGCCAATCTATGCACTGGACCTCTCTCAGGGTATGCTGACAGCAGCCCGGAAGCGCTTGGGGCCTGAACTGGCCAGACGCTTGGAAACGAATGTGGAGGGGGAGGGCTGATGAGTAGCTTTGTGCAGATCAAGCCACTAACTCCGTCTCCAATTCACGGGGTTGCCTGCAATGACAGTAGGTTGGAGCATCGGTTCCCGACAGGAGCTGTGCATCTACTGTAGAATCTAGACTTCATTCTGCAGGAACATCTGCAGCAAGAGTGACTCCCCCACCACACTCTGGTATTCTTGGGATTTTCCTATTGGTTGTTTCTTGACCAGTAGGATTTCTGGATGTTGCTGGAATCTGGAAGCAACGCTGGCGCGGAATAGCCAAGGTCAGGTGACCTTCCTCCACGCTGACACGCGCCAGCTGCCTTTGTCCGCTTCCTCGGTGCACGACGTGCTCTCCTGTGCGCTGGTCGGCAAGCTGGTGACGGTCGGACGTGACCGACGGGGGTGGCAAGCTGGTCGTATACCGATCCTTTTTTTTCTCGGATCGGGTGGAGGTTTTTACGAACCCTGTGAGACATCTGGGGGAAAGCATTGTTTCAATAACTTTCTCCCGGCCCTTTGAGGCAAATCCAAGATTGAGGTAGCCGGTGAACTTGGCCGTATGAATGTGGACCAAGGTCGAGCCATCGCTAAAGCATGAACTTCCCAACTGGAACGCTTTTTGTGTTTGTGCATTTGCGCATGGCTTCCCAAAGATTTAAGCATGACCATTGGGTGTCCAAATGCTTCACAGGTATTTTGTGGACGGTTTGTGTGAGTGTGGGCCTCATTTCCAGTGGTGCGCCAGCGTGTGAAAACTCATCTAAACATCCGACTTGTAGGACTGATTGGCATTCAGATTTTCCACAAGATAACCACCAAGCCTCCCCCAGCCCCTTTGAGTGGTTTGCGATTGAATTGATCTCCCAGTTGGCAACACGTGCGCTGAGGTGCAGTTCTTCACCATTTGCCCCTGACCGAGACCATGTGCGCTTTGCGGGAGATGTCCCGTGTGCTGCTGCCAGGTGAGCGTAGACCATCCGGCCGGCTGAGCGTAGCTTGGGGGAGTCCTATTGCCTGCAACAGTCGGTGCACAAGTATCACTATGTTTAAAGTCTTTTGACCAAGGCCTTTAATTACTAACAAAAGTGTTATCCTGTTCACTAACCATCATCATCCACTGTTGCAGAGAATGTGATATACTCAAAGCACAGCACATCGTAGTTGCGTCAGACTAGTTAGATTGGCAAATTTAGATATGATGTCAGAATACATTAGATGTGTACCATCTATTGTGATCCTCGCTGTGGTTAGGTGGTCGCTTGCTGGCGTCCACCTGGGACCCCCGAGCGCGGCAAGTGGCCAAGCGCGGCCGGCGGGCAGAGGAGTCACAGAGAGTCTTTGATGGGGGAGGGGAAGCGTTGCGAGTTCTGCCCGGGTCCAAAATGCTGAAGACTTAGGAGCCTCCAAGGGTGCAAATCCTGGAGCGCCAGTGACCTTGTGCGAGTCCCCAAGTGACCCTAACTTGGATACTCCAACGGTGAACATCCTACTTGAGAGTCCCACACTAAGTGACCGAACTTGCAGGTCTGTTTGAGACTTATATAAGTCGCCCGGGGATGGAAGTTCGGTCACGAACTGAAGAACCAGGTGGATGACATGGTTTTCCTGGAGCTGGGTATGAGATGTTCCAACGCCGTCGCCGTCGCTGTCAGGACGAGGATGCCTTTTGGGTCGCCTGGCGTTGTGCGGATGGTGAAGATGTGCAGCGCTGGTATCACCTACCAAACTTGGAGTGGCTTTGATGGAATTCTTCTGGGGCTCCAATTGCTTCCTGAGAAGAAGAAGGTGTTTGGGGTTGGTTTGGGAGACTCTGTAACTACTTTTTTGAGGATGTGCTTGAAGCCCTACACCACAAGGATTCAGAAACCCACGGTTCCCCAGGCCAATCACACACTCAAGCGCCCCCTTTTGAGTGACTTAGGGTACGATAGGGTTGCGCTTTGCGGGAGCAATCTTCTATCAACAGTCATGGTAATCCCGTTCACCACCTATCTTCGGAAACATTCGGAAACACAAGCCTTCAATGGTACATGAGTTCAGATTCACTGAGATACCTTCGCCATTATTGACGTGTCTTTGCCTTCAGGAAGCGACTGGAAGCTTGGAAAGATGTGCCAGGCCTAGTGCTGAAGCATCTTGGAGCAATCTATATACACGACTTGGGACTGGCACCTGTGCTTTCGGTTTCATAGGAAGGTCTTTGTCAATTCATTTCCGGTGTTCGCATGTTCTCCTTCGCTCCGAGGAAGGCGGAACTGGATGGAGACAATCAAGTCTTCGAGTGGCTGAGTGGCATTCACAGTCACTGGCCTCCCCAAACAGACACCATCACCACTGTAGTTTATACTGAATGACTCCGCTCCCATAAACACGCGGCCTCATATGTCCTGCGTTATGCAGCTTCTTCTTTGGCCAGCTGAGGTGGGAACGAGCGGTTGATGACCTTCCAACGTAGACACTTGATATCTACACAGCTTTATATGCATGGCATTTGGTCAGTTTGGATGCCCCGGAGCTGGAGTCTACTCTACACCTTGGCATCCCCGCACTTCGTGGGAGTCTTGCCAATACATGGCACTGATGCGTGAGGTTGGATGATATTGGATGAGTTACATTGCCACTGCTGTCAAGTGCTGTGCCATCATGCAGCAGGAAGAACGCCCACCACGGCGTCCGGTGAGAGACAACTTGCGGCTGGAGAACTCTGCACCACCCCGAGCTCACCGGTCAAACCTAGTCAGACAAGGCAGGTTTCAGCTGCGAGAGAGGTGGGATGACCTGACTCAGAACTGGCGAGAATAGGCCACTTCGATGCTCTTTGACTCCAATCTTTCTTTGACAATGCCAGGAGAGACACGGAGCTTCTCATGCACGCCCAGACATCCCCAAGCATGTGAGGAGAAGAGGAAGGTGCCACAACTACCTCCCATCGTACGAGAAACATGGTCGCATCGTTGGCATGCTATAGTGTGATGCTGCCACAAAAAGACGGTGGCATATGACTGGCATGCGGTTTTCAGCTGCTTTGTCCAGAGTTTGCGAAAACAACCGACTTGCGGGCGTTTCCTTTTGAGAATTCTTTTGCGATTCGACATGGTCGCTTGGTCACCTGGGAGCGCTAATGCCAAGGAGATTACATTCAAGCTTGTTGAAGGCAAAATATGGTAGTATATGTTTCTTTGTCACAAGGCCTCCTTCGGATTCATTTTGCAGGGTAGCAAATCTGCACAGGGTTTTGATGGATCTTTGGCCAGGCGCCCTTTATGCAGTGGCAGAGGCTGCTTGGTTCCTCTTGATGCATCTCGGGCCGCAGCAAAGAGATGTGTCGAATATGAGGCAAACATACATCACGATGATCGAGCTGTGTTGCAGCCTGTGCAGAGTTGCACAGTGTATTCACTGAGGAGTTTGGCATGAAATTACTCTAGAGTGCTAGGCTAGACTCTAGGATTCCAACCGCTGGTGATTTCATGCTGCAAATCCCAAACATTCCTGGTTGGACAGACTGGACTTGCATCCAAGTCCGTCGTCTTCCTTCTTCACATTGTCAAACGAAAGGCTAGGGAATCTGTGCATTGGATGCTGCACCCATCCACTCCGGACACCCCGGACTGCAAAGTCTCGCCATTTTGGACCGGTGGTTTACAGGCATAGTTTGAATGTAGACCTAGAACCTGAATGACCTCTATGTTGAATCAAACCACCAACCTCCCAACATATTATGGTCCAACAACTTCCTATCAAACCAGAGGTCAATTGGGATTCTTTGGGATTCTTTGGGTTCTGTTCCGGTAGCAGACTGGAACGGGGCGATCGATCGAGGTCGCGGATCATTTGTGGCCTGGGGGCCTCCTGCACTCCGTTGCTCTTCGCCTGGACAGCCCGCGCCTTGCGAGGGCACGAGGCGGTGGCGCAGGCGCAGGCCGGGAACCCTGGGTGGAGATGGGGGGGAGGTTTGCATGAGGCCACGGTGGGTTTGGAGTAGTATGGAGTATAGTAGTTGAAGTAGGATAAGGATGTTTATTCATCGCTATTCTTGAGTACCTCCAATTACTGAACAAGTCGGGATGAAGGGGACAACGAGCATCAGGTTTCTGGGGCTTGGGGTGGCGCGGTGTGCGAGGATTTCGTCCTGCAAGAGTAGTGAAGGTCTGCAATGCACCAAGGCCTGAGTGTTCCAGACCTGCAATGACCAGGCCCTCAACAGCTTCAATTGGACCTCTAGTCAACAGGATTTCATGTTCAAGTGTCACTTTCCCAAGGGCATTGTGGTCCCGCAGAAGAATTAGAGCATTCCACCCTTTCTTTCACCCTTTCTTTCGGTGCCTGTATGACTGCACACCGTACCCGCCATGGCCGCTATGCGTTCCATGGAACGGATCCCAAGCATGGCTTCGTTCACGAAGCGCTTCGTTGGGGCGCCTCGGTATACCCGCAGCGTCGTTCGCTCGTGTTCAGCTCAGGTTCAGCTGAACACCTGGCGAAGCTTGGGGACCTTCATTGGCCCCTTCTCCAGCACGGTGCTGTGCGTGCTGCCCAAGGAGCCCTTCCGAGCCCTTCCGAGCCCGTAGTGCAGTGAGTGATGGAATCCAAGCTTTTCGTTCGGAAAGGGCGGAGGATCTCCAATTGGTAGGTCAAATGGTAGACTTTCCACAGCTCAAGGCCATTTGTTTCCCCACGGCTCCATATACCCTCCGAGCGGGTGATTGGAGCAAAGTCGGCACTTTTACAGAGACAGTCCGGTACCTTCTGAGAAGGTGGCAGTGGATCTCTTTTTGGGGCCTTGGATTGATTTTTCGCTGGGCGGAAAAAGTGGCCCTGCAGGAGGGGCTCTTCAATGAGCTCAACTCAGCAGGCCGCAGGGCTGAAGCTTAAGGAGGTAGTGCCCTTTTCGCGGTTGGGTGTTGATAGGAAATGTTCGGAAGAACCCCAGGCCTGTCGGAAGATGTCGGAAGAACCCTAGGCCTGTCGGAAGAACCCCAGGCCTGTGAGTTTGGGATGTTTCATATGTGCAGGTTGGGGGGGTTTTCCTGTGTGGGAATCCAACATGATCCGGTAGATGAAGCTTACATTTGTATATCCTGGATCCGTGGTGCTCATTTTCCCGGAGATGAGTTTGAACGGAACTCCAGAAGTTTCGACAGCTGTCCTCGAAGGGTGAATGTGGTGCAGAAATTGCTACCTATTTCATTGGGCATCGCTAACGCCACACCGATGCTTTTGATGTCTCCACTAGGGGAAGAACTCTAAAGTACTTGAAACTTATTGAATATGAATATGCTTAAATCACGTAGACGGAAACTGGTGAGGGGCTGAGCTGCACCACACCGTTGTGCTTGGAACATTCCCGGTCATCAATCAATCTTGGTCTCCCCGCCTTTCAGGCTGGGCCATCGCCTTAGCCAACATCGTGGGGCTCCTGCTGTGCTTCCGCCAGGGGGCCCTGGTTGCACGAGGATGTCTCAATCGCTGGATCAACAGTCTCTCCATCGATCACCCAAGCAATTCATTGTCTATTGTTTCTTCTTCGCCTCCGTTGAAGAGGAGGTGCAATCCGTGAATGGGCCTCCGTTGAAGATCACCCGCAGCCGATTTAAGCTCCAATTTTCCAGTCTCAACGCCCCGCCCACGCAGTCCGAGCAGTGTGCCGCGCTGCACCGCGCTGTACTGCTGCGTGTTTTGGGATGGCCTTGTGTTCGTGCTGCCCGGCGGATGCCGAGCCACTGCGAGAGATGAAGGACTACAAACCGAAGCATGTGCCTCGGCGGATGCAGATGCAGGGGTCCTGCCGAAGGCATCAGCCGGTTCAGTACAAAAAAGGTTGACCTGGTGGATTTTCTGGACGGCACCATCAATCCCGACTGGAGTTACTTGAGGTGAGCTCAGAACAGTACCCACATTGAAAGACGTCCTGTACACACTTACAATAGTTTCTACAGTCCTAAGAAGTGGCTGGGTTGCTTTCTCCAACGCAAAGGCCCAAAGGCCTACACTACTTGTGCATGTTCCATAGGACACCCCTTAACCCTCCTTCATATCCATAACAACCCTGCAAAAACTCCACGAACGGCAGATGTCTCACCTACATGGGGGGACACTTTTGACAGGGGTCGATGTGGATTCCAGCCATGGAGCGTTGACGACCACTGATTGCCCCAGGAGATGACCAAGATTCAGTCCCTGAACTGCTACGTGGCCATGCCCAGTGCTGCTGCCACTCAGGGTGTCATCATGTTCACAGCTTCTGGGATTGGATTTAGCATGATTTAGCAGATTGTTGGTGTCCCTAGCGCTCCAGTCGTGCCTCCTCAGAAGGTATTTTGACACTCACTCCCAACCCACCCCAAACACCTTCTGAAGGTACTTGGAGCCCTAGGGTTTGCTTTGGTACATATTCTATGATACTCTATATGTGCACCTGTCATGTGGTTGACCTACTTCTAATCCCAACCTCCATAACTTGCAGGAAGTGTGATGCTCGGGCCAATGCTCGGGTGGTTGTGGGGTCTAAAGGAACACCCGGATGGAGTTGCTTGAAGTCTTTGCAAGCGGGAAGTGTTGACCTCAGATTTGCAGCCGACTGAGGCTAAGGGACTGAAGGAAAGCCCAAGTGTGACTTTCCTGCTGCGTAGACAAACTATTGCACATCAACAGCGTGCTAGTGGAGAGATCTTTAAGGTTTTTCATCCAATAATAGGTTCTAAAAAGTGGTGTCCGTGTCACACACCAAGCCGTACCAAGCCGATGCATCCAAGGACATGTTCGGAGTCAACACCGGCCAGCTCCCATTTGCACAAGACCTTGCTTTTGTTGTTTTTGTCGTGGCTCATTCCTTGCTGATAGAGAAGCAGTGGATAATGTTTGGCAAAGGGGCCCCATCCCATTGCTAACTCACGGTATTCAATTGTATGTGAAAGGAATTTGCGGGTAGGCTATCATAGGTGTTAGTTTGAGCATGTTTGAGCTAGTGCGGACCAATGGTGCCAAAGAAAGGAGAGCAATGAGAAACACCACTAGACTTTCCTGTTGGGGTGCCCTGCAGGATGGTCCTACTTACTGTTGGATAAGTCTAAGGTGTCTTGTTGTTTTGCCCAGGTGACCTCAACCGGAAGGTTTAGGCTCAGACACGGGCCAAATCATGATCAGAACCGTCAGAACCACATGAAAACGACCAAGGAGGGTGCTGTTACACCCTCCGGCCCTTGATTGAGGTCGGCATAAGCAGTTCTGCGATATGCTGGCCGGAGACTTGGTGCACTCAATATTCAAAGGGCTAATCTCACCAAGCAAGCCAAGGATAAAGGACGAAAACAAGTTCCCCCAAATCTATCGCAACCGAGGGGCTTCCGCAAACAAAGACTTCGCCATCCATTCACTTGACACGCGTGGAAGTGAAAGAATGCCCTCATCCTCCGCCGAGGAAACGGATATTTGGCGGTTTGTCCGGACTTCATTGGCGAGAGGCCCTACATGAGCAGCTTGAGCACTCCCAGCCACTGGGACTGAGCCTTTGACAGTGTTTTAATGGTTCTATCCCAGGCTCAGAAGTACTAGCTGCTATATAACAGCCCTTGAAGTAGCCCTTGAGTATTTGCCTATGAATCTGGTGGGGTTGACCGCCCGTAAATGCCCAAGGGCTGCCTATATGACTCTTGGGGAGAGCCGTCATCCGTCGCTTCCTTCGAGAACGTCTCCCCGCTCGCACAAAGGCAAACGCTGGTGGCAGTCTCCAGGAGATGTGGCCCAGTAAACCAGTCACCGCATTTGTTTGGAGATGCCCACCTGCAACCGAACCATCATCATCCACTGTGACTGGTAATGAGATACACCTAGTCACCTAAACATATATATAATATAACTAGTATAAGACCTTTTGAATTATTCCTCATGATTTTCATACCCAAGGGTTCCAAGTACCTGGACCCTCCAAAGTACCCTAGAAAAGGGAACATGTGACATGACCCCACAAACGAACAGATACGTTATACCAATTTTTCCAGGTACTTTGAGACTCCAGGTGCCTTCTGAGGTGTTTGGGGTGTGTTTGGAGGGTCCAAAAACCTTTTGAGAAGGTACTTGGAACCCTAGGGCCGGATGCCCAAGCCATGCCCCTGGTGCAGACCAAATGGCAGAATCCCACCTGCAAACCAGGCTTCGGCATGAACTACTGCTGTGCAGCGGAGTTCTTGTTCAAATTCTTTTCTGGGAACTTTGGCCGGAAGACCAAGAGCTTCGCGTGGGAGACCTACATGTGGCTGAGCTGCTTTGTTATGGGGTGGCGCCGGAAGTCCGATCTTGAGGACATTTGTTGGTTGATCACTTAGTAACTTCCAAGAACTTTAAAGTCATGCCTCACTATTTGCATTTAGTTGTATCTCCAGCTTGCACTCAACATCGCGCGATGTTGATGTCCAGCTTCCCGTCGTCCTCAGGAAGCAGAAGGTGATGGGCGAACTGGTTCCCTGGATGAAACTTGGCAGCAGCACTTGAACTTCCAGGTGCCAACTCAGTGCCAACCACACAACTGCTCCCACACGGCTCACCAGACTGGAGCAAGACCTCACAAAATTTCGAGTAAAATGCGTGGAACAACACCTTCTAATAAGCTGGGAACCCCCTTGTCGCCTTACCAGCTGTTCTTCTCCACTCCACAAAGACCACTCTTAGACACCCAATCCGGGCCGAACACCACTCTACTTCTCCGGGCGCGCCGGGCGCGCGTGGAGTGCGTTGGCCCGGAGGAAGATGAAGGGAGTGTCCAGTTTCGCCGCAGTGGGCTTTTGCTGGGGCACCTACGGCGCCATGAAGTGTGCCGCATACCCCGACGCTTGGGCTCGGCGCGAGGTCCCCTGGGCGGTTGCGAATTCGGAGAACTGAGGACATGGAGATCATGGACAGAGTCAGGGACGGTTAAGGGACCGTAAATAGGACCCGGAAAACCTGGGGTACCTATATAGGATAGCCAAACGTTCGGGTTCTTCAACCTCTGCTGGATGGAGATCATGAAGAACTGAGAACGTTCTGGTGATTCTGTGGAAGTAACATGACATTGGTATACATTGGTGACAAGAGAGTGGAGTTTGGAGTGGCTGAAGACTACGGGTGCCATGTTGTTTTCACGAAAACGGAGCCACTTGCCTGCTTTTGTTGGCAAGTTAGTCAATGCACAGCTCCACTTCCTCGACGACAGTGTCAGGCCGAGATTGTGGCTGAAGAGTCTCCCCCTTGAGGGCCACGTGAATGGAACCCAAACCCACATGTCTTGGTCTTCAGAGTTTCTGGTCGAAACCCACAAAGTTTTGACTGACATGGTCCGTTTGCGGGGCGGGGAAGTCTTGTCAAAGGCGCGACCTGCCAGTTCGTCCGCTCCCAACCCACCGGGGCCAGTCGTCCAGTCCGTCCTGCAGTCGAGCTGAGGAATTCAAGTGCTGCGCAGGTTTTCACCCATCCACCGAGGGCTTCTGCAAGAACACCGGGGAGGATGACTTAGAGGTCGGTCTGAAGGGCTTGATCGGAAGTGAAGTTCGGGCGGGGTGCAGTTCGTCCAGTTGGAGCCGAGAAGGTGCATGTTTTGGTGACCTGGAATCATGTAGCTGAGGGATGCTGAGGGCTTTTGGATCCGCATTTGGAGGACAGAGGAACCAATGACTGGAGGGTGCCAGAAACCACCTGGAATTGAGGTGGGTCACGTGTTTGATGTGGTGAATGCCAGCTAGCTAGTGAGTGGTTCCTTGAAAGCCCAAGTGGGAGGAGCCCCTAAAGTTCCACTTCATGGGCTTGAAATTGCTTTGACCACTCCGTTTTGGATGGTAAGCCACCAGGTCCCAGGCATGGGGCATCATGCTTCGGACTTGACAAGTAAGCCAGAGGTCTCCCAACCCGGGTGGAGGTCTGCCGAAGCATCAAGTGTCCACAGCTGATGATTGCCACGAAGAGCGAATCTGAGAAGTGGCGGCCAAATGGATCTTCGCTTCAGAAGTCATGGTGATGGGCAGGATTTTTGAGACGAAGAGCTTTCTTTGGACATTCTCCTGCATGACCTGCATGCGTTCATTCCACCTGAGCTTGGCAGGCTTACATACAGTAGGCTACCAAAGACCCCAGCCTTCGTCCAAAACCGGGCGCCCTCAACCCAGCCCTGAAAAAGCTCGGATGTGGATGCAAAAGGTTTCATTTTTCCGAGCCAAAACCGTCCAGAATTAGTGACCGTAGGTGCCCAGGGATCATGATACACAGATCATCACCGATCCAATTCCCTTCGTGCGGCTCCTGATGAAAATCTAAGGAGAGGCCCACAAGGCCTGTGAAATGGCGCTCCCTGGGAAAGTCACTTGGCACCTGCAGGACAATGCGATCCTTAGACGCAGGATCAGTGTTTGATTATAAAAACTGTAAATCCTCGAGTGTATATAGGTCCAAGAAGATGACCCACACTCAAAGCATTTGAAAGTATTATTGTGTGGTCCACGAGGCCTTCAGCCTTGCTTTTGGACAGAATCTTCCAGTCTTTGTTCAACTTTGGCCCTAGAAAGACGTCCCAGAGAGCCCCAGAGCCCGTCTAAGGATGCATGGCTACATGACTCGCGGTGATACCCTGAAGCCGGAGACCATGGAGGCGGTGAAATATGGATTTGAGTCGCCTTGGCATGGCCTTTGGCACGTTTTCCAACCTGGAAACCCTAAAAGGAGCATGGAGATATACTTAGGGACTGCTGAAGAATGTGAAACAAGTCTTGTTCCCAGATCTTTGGAATTTCTGAGGTTCAGGATCACATGCGCGACATATGTAATAACAATCTCAATTCAATAGTGGTCCTCAAAACTTTTAGAAGCAATGTCACATTGTTTGAGGATTTTTTATGTGTTTTTTCTTCATGCTGGTGGAGTCTCTTTTTTCAAAGCAATGCCTCTCTTCAAGCACATTTAGGTCGATGATGACTCTCTTCAAGCAAAACCTCTAGTCCCTGCTCGCCGCTGCCCCAGTCGCCTCCCCACTGGCTCGCCGCTGCCCCGAGAGAAGGCGTGTCGCCACACGCACGCCACGCCACGGGCGTTCTGAGAAGGGACGGCGCGAAAAGAACGCAGGTGCGATGCGATGCAGAAAGGCTAGCGGCTCAAAGGGCGTGCCCCCACTGAGCATGAACAGAGACCTCTTGATCCAGAGTCGTTCAGAGTCTATATAGTCTCTTCTGAATGCGTGGAACAGGTGAAAAGAGGTGAACCTTAGAAACTGGAGGGGTCAGATGAAGAAACAGTGATGCGATAAAGAGGCCTTCCTTTGCCATGTATATGGCCATGTAGACCTGGAGAGGCAGGTTGCTTTGGGTTGATCGCTTATGCTGCATGCTCAGTAGGTTTTTGGAGCATTTGGTCAATACTCCAATGCTCATCTCAAGGTGAATCCAAATTGCTATGATTTGCGGTGTGCACCACGCACGCAACCTCTATACTGAGGATGTTTGGAGGACACACCACGACTGCCAGAGGCTGGTGCTCCGGGCTTGAGGAGAAGAACAATGAAAAACACAACGACACCTATGATGGCTGACTGATTGGTATAGTTCAAGGCTAACCGTACACTATTGTAAAGCATTCTCTTTGTTCTTCCACAGGGCTTGCGGTCGTATCGATTTTCGTTCTTAAGCCGAGGCCATTGCACCTATCCCACCGAATTCACACCCTCCTAGGAGCTTGAGTGACTTCCACTTCCAGGGCACGTTCACTTCCATTCACTGCTCCAATGGTCACACAGATCTTGCAACATCTTAATAATTTCAGACATTTTTTTGTTGGCAACTTCCTATACATTCTTGAAGAATTGGGTCTTCCGCAACATCCTGGGCCACGTGGTTGATGCATGTTGATGGCTGGCATGCCGTTCTGCTTCCGTCGAACACCGCGCCTCAGGTGGCGTCGGCCGATCTGGAACAGGCTCAGGCATGCGGAGGGGAGGCTACACTGAAGCCACAGCGAAGCATCCGATTCGTCTTCGCAAGTCAGGCTATATCTCAACAGGAGCTCTCATGAGGTAAGGAAGGAGGAATGCCCATATTTCCACCTGAGATGGACCAGATGACCATTGTAAAAGATTCTCTAGGATTCGATGCACCATATACTTATGGGGGTTTTACTGAACAACCATAGTAAGTGGTTGTTTCTCTCACAACAATGTGGCACTACCGGACCAGGTCAGCCGAAGAACGGTCGATCTGAAGGCCTCAAAGAAGATATAGGGATGCCTTTTCGATTCGCACAACTCGCCATCGCTACAGCGGTCCCAGCGGTCTCAGTGGTCCTGTTCCTTCTTCCACTTCCAGGCGAAGAGTTCCGCCCTGTGGAGCTCTCCAGTGCTGTGGCTTTGTCTTCTCTTCCAGGCGGAGACGACCGATCCAATGGAACGCCATGACATTGGTGACCGGGATCGGGCGCTGGCGCTGGCTCGTTCGACGTCCTCGGTGACATCGGTGGCTCAGTCCTTTAGAACCACCGGTGGTGGTTGAGTTCACTGAGGGGTTGGCCATGAGGGGTTGGCTTCAGTCCTCGCCATCAGTCGTGATTTGAGCCAATGAGTTCTGAAAGGGGAGTGTGTTTCACTCTCTATTCGGGACTGCTTTTGGAAGGGGCTCCTGTACTATGTGGGATGTATAGCCAGCAGCCTCTCTTGGTTGGAGGGCATGATCCTCCATGTCTGGTGGTGTTGGGGCCTTCTTTGCCCTCAACGTGTATAGGTTTGTGTGTGTGTGTGTTGGTTCTTGAACAAGTGGTTATGCACCTGGTTTTTGCATGTTTTCGCTATGGCTATGTGTTATGACAACCGTGGAGAAAACACAACCTGCCACTGCCACCCAGACATGTCGCCAGCCATCCTGCAGCCCCTTGTGGCTCAAAAGCTGAAGGCCCCCCCCAAAAAACCAGCTGTGCAGCCGGTTTTACCATCGCCATGTCCTCCATCGCCTTCGCCGCGCCCTGCGCGGCGCCCGCGCCTGCGACGCGGGTGGCTGTAGCGGGCCTCGCACGCGCGAGTGGCGCTGCGCTGTGCCGAGGGAGGTCCACGGCAGATGGGCGGCAGATGGCAGCTGCGACTAGGTGAAACAGCAAGACAAACGGGCTGAAGATGAAGAGGGGGGGTCCAGCGCCCAAAAGCAAAGAAGGGCAGGGTGCACAACGGAAGCTGGTTTGGTTTTCATTGGTTGCCAGTTTTGAAAGCAACTCTTGGGCTACTGGCCTGGTTGGTGCACTTGTAGATTGTGACAACTGGCCACTTGCAGAACCAGCTATACTCACTCTAAAACCCTCAGAAAAGCGAAGGGAGGCGGAGGTTTGCGCGCGCAGATGTTGCTATTCAATCAGCTCGGGTAAGTGATATTGTAGGAGATGCCAAGGCCTCAGCGCGCGCGCCGGGGAGTCACAGGGCGCGGCCCAGTAGTCCGTAAAGGATTATACAAGGGGTGCCCTGTTTGGAAGCCTATAGGTAGTGTGGGGTAGTCCATTGGACACCCCTTGGAGGGTCCTGGTATATCGCTCGTTCATTCTTTTTTGAGAAAGGCCTTTAATTACTAACTAATTACTAACCCTCATTATGAACTGGGCCCTGGCAATGGGATTTATATATGGGATAATGATATATCCAAGTTCTACAGCAAGTCATTTTTTGAGCGGTCGGGGTTGGGCAAGTATATTCTTTGGGATTGCTGCCAGGAGTCATGAAGGGATGATGAGTTTTGGCTGGAACCGACCAGCGCCACAACTCAATAGCATTCAAGAAGCCACTTGAGGGTGGCAGCTCGAATTGTTCAACACTCCTTCCAAAATTCCAGCTCACCTGCAGGTTTTGGCCCAGGAGGGGGTCGTTTCAGGGTCGCCCGGAAAGTTCCATTTTCCGCCTGGAGCCGGTTGAATTCACACATCCAAGCTGTTGATCCTCGTTTTGCTCAAGGTTATTCTTTATTTCCCTATGGTTACATCACGTTACATCATGGTTAAATCTCCTTTTGGTGAATATGTTTTCTTGGCAGGTTCCTTGAGCAAATCCAAGTCATTGGCTCCTGAGGCCTTTGCTGTTGCCGCCACCGTGGTGGCTGGTGCCAGGCAAGCGCCCCGCCGGCGCACGACCCGCGGGTCCACCGCCCGCCGGGTGGTGGCGACGGATGCCCCGACGCAAAAGGCCACGGAGTGGCTTGGAAGCTTCGGGGTTCGCCTGCCGTGAGACTGTTAGTCTCCAAAAATCATGGTTTCCTCTCAATCCGATGGTGTCCATCTTCCTCAGGACTTCCAAAAAAAGATCACCCAGACGCGACCCTGGGCCCTCATATGGAGGGGTCTGGGGTCTCAAACCCCTAGGTTTTGAGGGACCAAGGGCTGTTTGGAGCGCCTGGGCAAGAAAGCAGGTGTGCCGGTGTGCAATGTTCATGAGCACGACGAGTCTTGATGTCCAGACTGGTTCGTGGAGGGGGCGAACCAAGTGTGGGCAAACGGGTCTCACGCGTCGACACGTCGATACGGGGGGGCGAAAGCCTCCGCCGAGGTCGAAGTCAGCATGGAAGAAATACGCTGCTCGACCAAGTGTTTCAGATGGCCGGATCTCCCTGTTGACCGGGGCAGGGAAGTAACCATCGATCAATTGCACTGCACTTGCCAGGCTAGACTGAGGCTGGGACCTCCATAAGACGATATAGATTACGTGACTTCTCCCTAAAAAGAAGAGTTGCGAAGTTCTGTGGCGTACTGCACGTCGATGGACACTGAACCTTAGTGGAAAATCCGGAGTTCGGAGTGTTTTTCTGAACTGGGTGCAAGTTCAGTGACTGTTTGCACTGGAGAAGTGCCACCCTGGAGATGTCGCAGGTCCGCAGTGCCCATACCAGCGAGCCTCTATCGAACGATGGCCCGGCCACACCGGGGGTGTCCATAAACCACTTCACACGGGGGTGCTGGTGTATGGCCTCCGTGCTTTTGAAGGATCATAGGTAGCTAAGCGTACCTTAGAAAATGGGGCATGACCCTATAGAAACAGGTACTTGTATCCATTTTCCGAGGTACGAACAGGTCGACTCCAGGGGCAGATGCAGGTCAATGCAGAGTCATAGGCCACCATTTGAGGTAACAGCTGTTCGATCATCTGTGTTCTATGATGTTCTATGTGTTCACGAACCTGTGTTCTTGTGTTTCTATCTTGGGGCTCACCCAAGATGACATGTTGTTGCGGCAGTTGACTACGACAGGGTCATCACCATCAACATGAGGGAAGTGTTGGGGAATCCAGGAATCCCCCCTAGTTGTTATGTTCTTTTTGTGTCGCAGCATGACCCCTGAAAAAGACACCTATTATATAGGCTGGAGGCTATAGGTGACCTTGCAGTCTGAAAACTGAGGATCTGAAATGGGGTGTCCACAAGTTTGGCGGTGCCTCCCTGGACGATGCCAAGCTTTACAAGATTTGTGGCGACTTGCTGCTCTCAGAGTCCAAGAACCAAGGGATTCTTGGTCACATGCTAGTAATAGATCGGATCGGAAGGCTGGCAGGCACCGCAATCACAAAACATACACTATAGCTTTTGCTCAGGAGGGAGCGACAGGAGCCAGGGGCATCCATATTCCCCAACAGGGAGCCGAGGAGCTACAAGGAGTTCCCCAACCCCTTACTAGTACAACCCCTAACAATCCATGAGACTCGAACATTGGCCGAGTTTCTCGGCCAGGGGTGATTTGCTGATCTTAAAAGTTTTCGGGGTCGATGTGTCGGTAGTTATCCCTAGGCTTCCAACAACCATTAATTTAATAGGCTGAATCCCGAATCAACTAAGGATGTGACACTACAAAAACCAGGTCAACCGTCGAGGGTTTAAATATATAACAGTCCTATGGATGGTCTGGGCACCATTCTTGCCAGTCACTCGAGACAAGAGGGGGTAGTAGTGTTGAGAGGATGAATGTATAAGGTGAAACCGGTCCCTGAACCCTGGAAGTTCTCAACCAGAGCTTCTGAGCTGAAACCGGGGGTCATAGTACAAGTTGAGAGACATAAACCATCATAAACCCATGGGCCCACCCACTGTAAATATATATAATCTATAGGCATTCGTACCATCCCCACGGCCTTTACAGAGCCAGCTGGCAGCTCCCCCTCCACTTCACCACCTTCTCCTCACCCTGCACCTCCACCCTCCAGGGACGCTCCCACCGCGGCCATCGTCTCGGCGGCGGGCGGCATGACGGACGCCTTGGTCTCCATCATCGACACCGCGCTCACCAGCGTCGACGAGTCCTGCGAGAAGCTGCTGCTCGGCCGCGCACCCCGCGGCGCGAGCTTGGCGGAGCGGGGGGGGGCGCGCCCGCTTCTGTGTTTCAGGGGGTAGCGCTTTGGGCGCCGTTGCACAGTAAGGCACCAGGTTCTTCAAAGTGACAGAATTTGAGCCCCTGGTTTGAGACCACTATAGAAGGTCTTAGGGACTCCAAGGGTTGGTCAGATTTGAAGAATGGAAGAAGCTGGCATGTTGCTACCTGGATCATCCAACTGTTTGTGCCCATGACCCCAGTGACGCCAGCTGAGGAAAGCTGCCGCCGACCGGCAGAAGAGCATTCTGTTGGAATTGGTTCCAGACAACTCGGTGCCTAGGACTGCCTGCCTTAGATCTTCGAAAAAGGAATTGATTTCTGCCAAGACAGCGATTCCTATCCCTAGAGCTCCAACCACCTCCTGAGAAGCTGGTTGCCCTGGGTTTGGGGGATCTAACCACCTTTGAGGATATGGTTGGAGCCCTAGGGTATATATAATGGACTAGACTAGACCCCTTTGGGCTCCTTTCCCACATCCGACAAGAAGGTGGACTGGGGTGGGTGGGTGCCAGGAGGGTGTCAGTCCCTACCTTCTTGTTGGATGTGGGGCAGGAGCCCAAACGGGATGGTGACTTGAGCTGTGGCGACACCGACATTGCGACTGGTCGTCGGGGGTATCCAGTTCTTCCCCATTCAACTTCGGATGATCATTTTCTTCTTTGTTGCCCTGTGACATCCCCGTTTTGAGGAAGATGTGTTCGTTTTTGCTGTGGCTCTCCTTAATACAATCCAAGTATGGCAAAGGGAGACCGGCCTGATCGAGTGCAAGATAGATGACTGCTCTAACAACTTGGCCTCTTCGATGCCAAGGGCCTCATCGATGGTGTCACAGGATGACGTTCTGATATCTTTTGCTGGAAACAAATCACACAGTAGAAGTAGTATAATGATTAATGTAAGGGTTCTATGGGTTTGGAGGGTCTATTTCTTCCTGAGAATGCAGCTGGGCGTAGGAAGCGGCATTTTGCTTGAAATAGAGCGCACCAGAGTGTGCCTATGTGCCTTCGAATACCCGGCTAGCCACTATTGATAAAGATGT